TTATTCATTTTTATTTATTACATTTATTTATTGTGTGTGTGTGTGTGGCCAGCTCAGCCCACCAGGGGGCGGGGCTGGCTGGCATGTGGAGCTGGAGGATTGAACCGCGGTCCCTGTGCTTTGCCAAGCTTGTTTCAAGTAGGTGCTTTAGACCACTGAGCCATCTCTCCAGCCCCTAAAGAAATAAACTTTAAAAAAAAACAAAAACAAGTCATGCATGCCTGTATCATTAACTCAACAAATATTTGAGTGCCAACTAGGATGAGGTTCTAGAGCCCAAGGAAGGGATCACATAGTCAGTCTAACAAGAATTAGAATGAGAGTGATGTGATGGAAGTTTAGACATACAAGATGTCTCTGCCTGGCTTGCCACAAAGTTGCCACACCTTGTAAACACTAAGCTTGACATGTGATTGTCTCCTGACCATTCCTGCTCAGACTCCTGCCTTGACCCCAGTTTGTTGTTTATATTCATATATCAGAGTATGGACTGCTCAGGGATCCTGGGAGTACAGATGGTGGTGACCAAGGTAAGTGGTTTATGTGTGGGCCTCCTTAGCACCAGCAGCCCCCTCCCACTGTGCTTTGCCCTCCAAGTCACTTTGTTATCTCAAAGCCATCTTAGTAGCCTTGTGTCCTCACTTTTTAGATAAGAAATTAAAGTGAGCAGGGAATCTACCAGACCATATGGCCAATCAGTAGTGGAGTCAAAATTTGAATGTAAAGCTTTTTGGGTTGAGGTGAGAACTGAGACAATGCTAGCAAAAATAAATAAATTATATATATATAATTTTTTAGGTGGGTTTTCACTGTGTAGTCCAGGGTGGCCTTGAATTCATAATCCTCCTACTTTAGCCTCTTGAATACTATAGATATGGGCCTACACACACCTGACTTGAGGAAAATTTTTTTAAAGTAGTTATTCTTTTGTCAGAATTCAAAGATGTAGATATAGATACAGATATATATTCTCCAATACTTTATTTTAAGAGTCTCCCTTGGACTGGGGAGATAGCTCAGTAGAATAAGTGCTTGCCTGGAAAGCACAAGGTCCTGAGTTCAATCCCCAGTACCACCAAAAAAAAAAAAAGTCTCCCTTAAGTTGTTTAGTTGCCATGGCTGAATTCTTGTGATCCTCCTGCCTCATGCCAGAGTACTGGGATTATAGCCATATATCACCACACTCAGCTAAATGTAACTACTTTTGTTGTAAACTAGGTTGATTTTATTTTCTCAGCAGTTTCTTATATATCAACTACTACAAAAGCAAAATCAATTTTTTTGTCAGTGATTTCATAGCTGTCATTTTACATTTGTCTTATTTGAATCTGGTTCTAGGAAGATCCATACACTAGAGGTGGTTAATATAGCTCACATCTTAGCCCTTTAACTGTGAGCCCTACTAATGTTATTTGTTTGTTTGAAAACTTGATTTATCCTATAGTTGGAGTTAGTTGATTATATCCTCTGGAATTAATACATCCATCCTTATTTTCTGTAAATCAGTAATTTTTGTAGATTGGTTAGAGTGTTTAAGGCAAAAAAGCTTCATTGACGATGCTTATTTCCTATTGGATCAGACCTTAAGAGGCTGTTAATTTGATTGATGAGCTTGGCTTTATGGTAGTCCATCATTTTTTTTTTTTTTGGCGGAACCGGGGATTGAACTTAGGCCCTTGTGCTTGCCAGGCAAGCACTTATTCTACTGAGCCATCTCCCCGGCCCCAGTCCCTCATCTTTTACATAGTTAATAATTTCAAAAAATAAAATATTTTGGGGGCTGTTGAGATAGATCAGCAGACTAAAACACCTGCTTAGACAAACTTAGTCAAGCTCAGGGACCGTAGTTTGATCCCAGCACCACATGCTGCACCAGCCCTGCCCCCAGGCACACTTAGCTGGCCACCGAGTCCAGGCATAGTGGCATACACCTATAATCCCAGTGCTGGGATGGCTAAAAACAGGAGGATCATTATGAGTCTGAGCTGCATAGTGAGACCCTGTAACAACCAAGTACATTTAAAAAAATAAATTAAAAAAATATATATATGTATATGTCGTACAAGGCAGGCATGGTAGCACACATATAATCCCAGCACTTGGCAGACTGAGGCAGACAGACCACAAGTTCAAAGCCAGCCTGGGCTACTTAGTGAATTCAAGGCCAGCCTAAACTTCATAGTGAAAAAAAAAAGTTTAAGGGCCAGGGAGATAGCTCAGTAGACGGATGAAAAGTCCAGCATGAGGAAGTAACTAACTGCTTGAACTAAAGCCGACCCTAGAGTTCAATCCCTGGTACTGCAAAAAAATAAACTTCATAATGAGACCCTGTCTCAAAAACACAATACAGGGCTGGGAAGATAGCTCAGGAGAATAAGCGCTTGCCTCGCAAATGCAAGGTTCTAAGTTCAATCCCTGGTACAGAAAAAAAAAAAAAAAAACAACACACAATAAAGAAATAATATTATATGTATGATATATACATAGAAAAAATATATATATATTAGCTGTACCTCCTAACATATTGTAGTGCTTGCTTCGGCAGCACATATACTAACATATATTCTAGGGGTATAGCTCAGCAGTAGAGTGCTTGCCTACCTTGTGTGAGGCCCTAAATTCAAACCCCAACACCATAAAATGGAGGTGGGGAGAGTGTGTATGGGTCAAGTACTTAGGATTCTTCAGCTAGAGTGTCTAGCAAAGCAAGTTTATCCTTAGGTGAAGAGATATATGGAGACAAGGAGGAAGCTCCTGATCAGGCCTCTTAGAGCTGAAGCCACCAAGGCACCGGTTCTGTTGGCAGCCACATACCCTTTTGGGACATCACGTAAAATGATGTAACTGCGTGAAAAAGTGGCAATGAGTTGGCTCTTCTCCCTGCTGAAGTCTCTGAGCTGCTACCTTAGAGTTTCTCATGAGTGCAGAGCTCTGAGTCTGCTGTGTGAAGACTCAGTGGAGGCTTCTTGGTCTGAGAAAACTGCAGCATATTTGATCCTTATCTCTTTGTCTTTTGAAAGCTGAAATCAAGGTGGTCTTCTGGTGCTGCAGTGGTGAGTCACACTTACAAAAAGGCTGCTTGTTTTGGAGGCAGAGGGTGAGATGAATTGGAGTGACCCAGTTATCAATAGTAGAAAGTGGCAGCTTGCAGGGTACCACATAGTCCAATGCCTGTTTTTACAGGTGAGAAAAATAAGGCCAGCAGAAATGCATTAGACTCCTACTAGCAAGTTGGAGGCTTGAAGAAAGCCAGCACTAAGACTCCAGTTCTCTGACTGTGATAGCCAGTCAGCACCACCTACCTGGAATTTCTGAGATGGGGTGGCCAAATCAGCCTCCTGACTGATTCTTAATGTGCACTCAAGATTTGTGGGTATCCCTTTGTTCTGATCTTGTCCTTGTTTTTCTACTCCCAGCTAGATTCTTTGACTTGGAAGTGTACTCAACAGCGATTAGTCCTGGCTGGGCATGGTGATGCACACCTGTAATGCCAACATCGTGGCAGGCTAAGGCAGAGAGATCACAAGTTGGAGCTGAGACCAGGGAACTTAAAATTTTAGTTCAAAGCTTAAAAGGTAGTTTAGAGCTCAAAGGCCTTGGTGGCTTGCTTGGTCTGTGGTAGTACAGTGGTTTAAATACAAACAGGATAATCATGAGTGCTAGTCTCAGTTCCACACTAGCCAAGGTATCTCAGGCTGCATTTTGCTGAAGAGAGATGAACCAGGTCATTGTTGCCCAGAGCATAACATGAGTGTGCCAGGTGACTTGGTATAAAGATGAATAACATCTTCTTTATTATATTTATACCTTTCTTCCACTTATAATAATACTGGTTTTTCACATGTAGGTTTCCCTTTTAATGTATTAAGGCTAAAATGTTGATAAATTCAGACAAGATAGTTTTCCAGATTGCAATCGTGGAAAACCATCATCTCTATCCTCATAACCTTTCATAGTTATAGGAATATATTCTGGAATATATCAATCACAAATGTGAGCATATTTCCATCTTGGCCAATTTTTTTGTTTGTTTGTTTGTTTTGGCGGAACCGGGAATTGAACTCAGGCCCTTGTGCTTGCCAGGCAAGTGCTTATTCTACTGAGCCATCTTCCTGGCCCCATCTTGGCCAATTTAAGGACTGTCCAAAGATAGAGGGAAGCCTGAAAGTTAAATTTAATTGACATATATTTATCATATGGTTGGACATCACAGAATAAAGATAATGACAGCTCCCATGGAGACCCGTCTGGAGGCTGGTAAGGAGTTTTGTAGTGTATTTGTGAAGTATATTTTGAGCCACATTCATGACAAGTTCATAGGTACCATCTCACAGCTGTTTTCAGCATATGTCTGGAAAGTGTGCTCAGTAATTTAGTTAGTATCAGCTTCTGTTACTGCGAAAAGATGAGGGTGTTGGCATGAAAGCTAGGGGAAGTGGCCACAGAAGTGGGCAATCTAGGGCTTTCTGCCTTTCAGGATTTCCTTGGAGAGAGTCTTCACCGAGAGATTTGCTGATAGCCAAGGATGGCAAGCAAGGGGCCCTCGGCCTCTGTATCCCCTGAGAACTCTAGTGCAGGGGGACCCAGTGGGAGCAGCAATGGCAGTGGTGAGAGCGGAGGCCAGGACAGCACCTTCGAGTGCAACATATGCCTGGATACAGCCAAGGATGCCGTCATCAGCCTGTGTGGCCACCTCTTCTGGTCAGTATCCCTGCTGTCATCCCAGAGTTAATGCTGTGAAGTTTGGAAAGCCTATGGCCCTGGCAGCTCAGAAGGCCTCTCTCCCCCTTTAGGTCCTGATATGCTAAGGTCAGAGGGGCAGAAGACCTAGGTTCCCACCCTAACTGTGCTGCTAATAAGTGGGTGACTTTGGGCAAATACTGTCTCCACACTGGGCTGCTTCTCCCCATTTGTCCAGTGATAATACCATTTAATGATACTAGTACCTGCCACATGACATGCTGAACCTAGAGGAAGTGGCAGTATACCATACTAGCTATGCCAGTGACTTGTGGAACCATATTTCCTCCCCACAATTTTTTTTTTTTCCTTCCCACAATTTTGACTCTGCTACTTCCCTACTAGCTGACCTTAGACAAAGTGCTTGTACACACTCCGCCTCGTTTTACTGTATTGTTTGTAATGACCCAAAATATAATAAAGACTTAGAAGAGACAACATACAGCACATACTGTGCATTAGCTGACCATAATTATCACTATTGTGTGTGTGTATCAAAATGAAGGGGCAGGATTTTTGTCCACTTCAGCCTTGATGACCACAGAGGTCCCTATTGGCTCTGAGAATATAGGAGAGTGTTGTTGAGTTTTGCTTTTTTTCTCTTGAAATGTTTGGGCTAAACCTTGAAAAAGAAAGGGAACCTTGAGGGGTTCTTTTTTTTTTTCTCTGAATGCCCTCTGGAGTGGTTTGGCTGGCTGGAGTGCTATGGGGATTGAACTACAGCAACCTGAGGCTGACAGCTTTGTGGAAGCAGCCACTTAAAGAACTGAGCTACGGCCAGGCCTCCAAAAAGAAAGGGAACCTTGAGAAGGGAACCTTTTTTGCCATATGTATGGCAAGAAAAATGGAGTCTATGACATCCCAAGGCAGGTGATTTCTAGAGACAGGTGTGAGCATTTTGGGCTGAGACCCTGAGGCCACTGTATACCTCTCAAGCCACCTAGATAGGAGGCTGGACATGTTTGGAAAGAAGACTGGTTATAGAGGTTTGGGCCAGATTATCAAACCCAGATTTGACTGAGAAGACATAGAGCCAATGAATATTTCACATAGGAAAATAGTATGAAATGAAGATCGTTGAAGCAATGTTTAGAGGAGTTTAACCTGATACCAGTATAAAAGATTAACTTATTAGTAATTAATAGAATTATGCAGAGATTATGTTGTTATTCTTGTTGTTCTCAGATGTCCTGCCCTAATCTTCTTTGTGAAACTGTTGTAATCAGCTGTATCAAATTGGAAATACTTCAGAATATCATAAAAACAAATGTTAATGAATGACAGAGTTAAGAATTAAGAGGTAGAGAACCGTTGGAAGGAACATGAATTTTAAAATGGTACAGATGCGTCCAGACTAGACGGTGTGTCTTTGGGCAAATCTGCTATCTTCTCTATAAAGTACTTTAGTTTTCTCATCTATAAAGTGGAGATAATTATACCCCTTGGTAGGTTAATGTGACCATCCAGTGATATTAATAAATGAAAAGGTATTCAGCCACATCCTGTCACACAGTAGGTGTTTAATAAATGGGAAGAATCCATCATTGTCATTATCCTAAATTTCCCTCTGAGGGTCATTCATTTCCACTTCTTTTTCTTTTTCTGGAACCGGGGATTGAACTCAGGCCCTTGCGCTTGCCAGGGAAGCGCTTATTCCACTGAGCCATCTCCCAGCCCTCATTTCCACTTCTTACTCGGAGCCTTTGAGGGAAGCTGCCATGCTCCACTCAGGTTAGAATGGTATTGAAAGGTTAGTGTTGGAGTATGATGTGAGGCATCTGTTTTGTTCAGAAAAATTGAATATATGGTTTGTGAAACTAAACTGATTTGAGAATTGAGAAAGGAGCTATCTTGAGACCATGGTTTACTCAGCTAAAGAATGTATATGTGTGAGGGACCAAAAGCATATTTGTATTTTTCTGCCATCCTAGTGAATAGTAGTTGTGCAGTAGATATTTGAGTGAATTAGATAATGAAGGAGAAAAGATAATAAAAATCAGATCTTTCCCTTCATTCCAATAAGTGCCATTTTTTGTGTGTAGTGCTGGATGTTAAAACAGCAGTAATCTAGAAATCTGGAGATTGTCTTTAATTCTAGGGCAAGTTGCTGCCTGTTTCCAAGCTTTGATTTCCTCCTTTGAAAATGGGCAGCAACTCCCTAAGCTGTAGTTGCCCTTTCTGTCAAGTAGCTTCCTCATCCTTACCATTACTTAGCAATGTTTTTAGAGTAGGCCTGAACTTTTAACCTACTTCCTGCTAGCAGAACTATCAAGGCAGAGGAGAGCTTGAAGACTGTCCAACTGGATCTAGGCTACTTAGGAGTCCACACATCCCTTTTGAGCCTGAGGAGGCTATGAACCCGCTGAAATTGGGCAGTAATGTAGTAAGCATGTACATGTATGCTTACATGTACTTCACGAGAATGCCTGTGAAATTTTCTACAGGAGATAAGTTTTTGGAATTTTTCAGAGGCTGTAATGGACTGAAGGCCATCTGGATGGTCTGACCTTAGGGGTCTGCATGTGCAGTAGGATCCTAGAGGTGGAGACTGGGTTCTTTTCTCCACTGTCTTGGTTTTCCTGTGATGTCTCATTTCTGATCCCAATAATCCCTCAATGGGAATATGATACCCTGATTTTCCCTAGTTTTTCTATTCTAGCACTTCCACCCTATTCATCAAGTATTTTTACTAATGAAAACCTTTTTCTTCTTTTCCCCTTCTCCTTGATGACTGGTTGCCCTGGGGACTCTGGCAGTTGGCCGTGTTTACATCAGGTAAGATGCATTCCATTTTACTCTGTCTTTCATCAGCTATGGTTGCACAAGACAGCCTTAGTCTCGGGAGATTGCTGTCAGAAGCTGCAATCTCTCCTGTTTCTGGACTCATTTGCTTCCTTACCCTAACCCCTTTTATATACCTACCTCCCTACTAACAGACACTTAATGAAATAAGGGATCATTAGTATCCAAGATGGTCCTAACTGCCACTGTTAACCACAGTGGCCTTGGCAGATCACCATCTCACTGGGTCTCAATTCTTCATCTTAGGTCAGATCAGATTTGATGAAATACTAGGTCTTCTTTATTTTTGAGAAATTCCTCCTCTCAACAGTACTCCTATTCTTAAACATTTTGAAAATGATGATGGGAATAGAGCTTTTCTGAGGAAGGAAAGTCTTATTTTCCCAGCTTTAGCTTATTATGAAAGACAGTTACATTCACAAGACCTAAACACCTATGTGATGAGATAGGACTGGACTTGGCATTCACAGTTCTGTATAAATTATGTCACTGCTGCTTGGCTACTTCTATGGTTGTCTTCAGTAAAGTACCACACTTATAAGTGATCATATGGTTTAGGAATGTGAGAGGAAGACAAGTTCCATATACGTAGAGCCTCAGCATCTGGATGGGAGAAAGAAGGGGGAGATGAGAAGTCTGACCCTAGTGGAACCTGGTAGAACGTGTTGGTTGTGCGCTTCTTAGGAAAAACATATAATGTAGATTTTGGTGATAGTATAAAGTAGGGTATAAATCATTAAATGCTATTGGCTCTATATCCCTGGAGCCCTAGAGTCCCAGTTATATAATAAACCTCATGACATTGGGTCTAAAGGTACAATTTATGTTCTAAAGTAAGTGTTGAGGGGTTGGGGATATAGCCCAGTGGTACAGTACATGCAGACCCTGGGTTTTCTCTTTAACACACATACACAGCCAGTTTAAGTGTGATAGTATTAGGTGGGGGATGTGGTTTGGTGTTGGAGCCCAGCTTTCAGGGCTCTCGGTTTGATCTCTAGCACCACACACACAAAAACCAAACCCAGAAATTGCTACACAATTGTATAAGAAAATAAAAACAATGAAATTTATAGTATTTGAGACCAATTTTGATTTCACCACTGGTAAATATTTATTGAATGTTAAGAGTGGGAATTGGAATCAGGTTTCTTGAGGTATTCCTTTGCTTGTGCTGGTGTTTCCCACTTGGAGGTCTCTGTCCCATATCTTTTTTCTGCTTCTAACTGACTATTACTCTGGTGGATCGTTGGCCATTTCTGTATTTTTCTTTCCTGCTTGTAGTGGTTGGAGACCAGACCTAACAGACAGGTGTGTCCAGTTTGCAAAGCCGGCATCAGCAGAGACAAGGTGATTCCACTGTACGGCAGGGGCAGCACCGGGCAGCAGGACCCCAGGTGAGGACTTGGGATGCATATCATACGTACCTCTCCCCTCAGATACCGATTCACTTCCTTTCATCACTCCCTGATCCTACCTTTTACTTGGTGCTTGTTGATTACTCAGTTCTGAGGCAGTCTTATCCAAATGGACTCAACTGGGAAGGGTCAGGTAGGCAGAGGAGAGATCTCAGGTTGCCACTTGCTGGACTGTAACTGCACCTACCCATTGTGTGTCATCTTCCAGCAGATAGGCTATGTGCTGGTCCTAGGGAACCAGCAGTATGCAAGACATTAAAAATCACACGTGTGCAAAGTGCTGTGAAAGAGCACTTTTTACATCCTGGGGAGCAGGCTTCATAGCAGGAAAGTGTCCAAAGAGTGAGGCTGCTGCAACAGGGATACATAAAGTATGAGTGAACAGGCAACAAGCAGACTGGGTAGCTTTGTGGACTGGGTGGTTTTGGAATTTCTAGAAGTGAAGATGTTGGTAGATCTAGTATTTTACAAGGACATATACTGAGAGCTGTTCATAGTCTGGCACCCTAATCTTCTCCAGAAATATCTCTTCCCTTCTCCCACTCCATCCCAGCATGCTCTATGCCTGAGATAGTGTGGACTTTTTTGCTGGGCATGACAGTCCACACCTGTAATTGCAGCATTTGGGAGCCTGAGGCAGGAGGATCACTACAAGCTTAAGGCCAGTCTGGGCTACATAGTTCAAAGCTAGCCTGAACTACATAGTGAGACTTTGTTTTTTTAAAAAAGTCATTTTAAATAAATGGAAATCACTGCAAAAAAAAAAAAAAGTCATTTTATTAAATGGACTTGCCTTTCTATCTTTATCTGCCTTTGTATATGGTCTCTGCTCTGCCTCTTCTACCCTCCTTTGTCTTTCTGAAACCGCCATCTACTGCCTATCTCCTCCTAATTTAAATCTGTCTTTCATGAGCAGCCCTAAAGTCACCACCACACTTTGTTAAGCATTTTTCACACTGCCTTGTGACTGTTTCATATGCCTTCTTGAAACTATCGTTACCTCAAGAGTAAGATCTGTCACCAGTCTTATTATTGGTAGCATCCTGCCTAGTGTCCGATATGTAATAATCCTTCAGTCCAGCATTTGTGAGATGAGTGATCAGAGGGGATGAGACCCAGAGGTAAAAAGAACAGCTTGGAGTGCTTGCCCAAGAGTAATGAGAGGGAAAGCTAAAGTTAATAGGGACAGATCAAAGAGACACCCTGATTTCAACCCCCTCAGCTGGCAGTCCATCCTCCATTTCAGTTTAGATTTGAGATTTCTGATGTCCAGTAAGCCCAGTATCATCCAGGCATAGGGAAAGCAACTGGCCATAATTAATAACCAGTCTGGGCCAGTATTCTGTGAGAAGTAGGCTGTCATACAACCTAATAAATATTTCATAACAAGCTGATTTTTCTCCCTGGTTCTCTGTACAGTGAGGGAAAGCAATTGCAGGTGGAATGAGTTAGTATTTGGCTTAATTTAGCATAACTATATGCTGGGCAGGAAAGGGAGCCCTGACCCTCTTAGTAAAGAGTACCCAATTTGCACAGGAGCAACTCAAGACATTTTGCCATGGACTAACCACACCATTTCTTTTCAGAGAGAAGACCCCTCCCCGTCCTCAAGGCCAAAGACCAGAGCCGGAGAATAGAGGGGTGAGAAACATTCTAGGAGAAGCTTGTAGAAATGAGTCTATGGCATTAGAAGTTTCCCTGTTGAGCCTATCATTTTTCTCCTTTTTAAAAATAAGTTTATTGGTACATTTTAGATATACTTAGTGATCACATTCATCATAGGGACATTTTAGATATACTTAGTGATCACATTCATCATAGGGAACTTGTAGCCATTTTTTTTCCTTGATTATAGAAATAAATATTTGCAAAGTACAGAAAAGAAAATGTGGAAAAATGAAATCACTTACATGCACACTGATCAGAGATTACCACTGGAAGCACTTTGATCTATTTTCTCTTCCGTTTTTCTGGGGTTTTTTCTTTTCTTTTTTTCTTTTTACTTTACAAAATAAAAAGAATTGTTTGGCTCATACTTATCTTTTTATGTCTTATATGCATACTGATTTTATTGATTTATTTATACATTGACATATATTTACATAATTTTTCTTTAATATGTGCCACCTATTTTATTTTATGTATTTATTTTTTTGCAGAGCCGGGGATTGAACTCAGGCCCTTGAACTTGCCAGGGAAGCACTTATTCTACTGAACCATCTCCCCAGCCCGTGCCACCTATTTTATAACTCTTAATATTTCACTTATTCTACAAATAGTAAGCCTCTTCTATGTACTGAGCATTATTTTAGGCAGTCTACGATTTATCAGTGAACAAAGTAAAATTTTTTGCCTCTTGGGGTTTATACTCTGAAAGTAGAGAATTTCAACATAGTTTGAGACTATTGAACAACTTTTGTCAGTAATATTTTATTTAATGGCTGTTCAATGTTCATTTGTGTGGACATAACATGATTTATTTACTTCTAGAGCTGAGTATATAGGTCAGTGGCACAAAAGTCTTGAGTTCAATTCCTGGTACGAAAAAAATTTTGGAAGCATCATTTATTTACTTCTTTGTTAGACCTTTAGCCATTTCCTTTGCTTTTTTTTTTTTTTAGATAAGGGTTCATTGCAGTTCAGGCTAGCCTTGAATTTCAGTGATCTGCCTCACATTCCAGAGTGCTAGAATTATAAGTATATACCACCACACCCAATCCTTCGTATTTGTTTTGTTTTTTGAGACAGGGTCTCTATGTATATTCCAGGCTGGCCTGGAATTCAGGTAATCTTCCTGCTCCTGCCTCCCAAGAATGGGGATCACAGGTGGGGGTCTTTTGTGTTTTAAAAATACTTTGGTAAACTTAAAAGTTTTGAGCAGATTCACAATTATTTTATTAGAACTAATTCTCCCAATTATTGTCTCAAAACTTTGCATATTTAAATTAGACATTATCCTAATGCTTGGGAAGCTGAGGAAGAAAGATTGCAAATTATAGGCCAGCCTAAACTACTATAATGAGATTGTCTCAAAACAAGCCAAACAGTTGTTAGCCTGGCATGGTAGTGCACAACTGTGACTCAGCATTCTAGGAACCTTAGGGTTATCACAAATTTGAGCACAACCTGGATTAACTTAGCCACTTAAGTAGCTATCTCAAAATTTAAAAAAAAAGAAAAAAAGGCTGGGGATATAGCTCAGTACAAAGGCCCTGGGGTTTAATTCATAATACCACATGATCACCTGTATTTCTAGCACTTTAGGCTAAGGTAGGATTGCCATGAGTTCAAAGACAGCCTGAATTACATAGTGAAACCCTATCTCTCTGCAAAACTCATCCCACCAAAAAAAGAACCGCACATAAATTCAAGACAAGCCAGGACTACATAGCAAGGCCCTATCTCTCTCTCTCTCTCTCTCTCTCTCTCTCTCTCTCTCT